AAAGAAGTATTTTTCCTTACCAGATGTTCCATGCCTTAAAGAAATTTATACTTATGTTCTATTGTGAAACTGGCTTAAGGGTCGATCACAACAGAAGTTCAAACAATTTACCCTATACTATCACAACAGAAGTTCAAACAATTTAACCTATACTCGGGGATTGCCATCCAAAAAATCGACATGATCGAATTACTAAACCTCGAAATCGTAAGACCTTAAAAAGGCAATCCTCGATTTTATAGGCCACGACCACCCCACTCGGGGACTGACATTTCGAATGAGTTTGAAGTATAGTAGGGAAACAAGCATAAGGGGAAAATCCCAAACCAAAGGCTACAACCAAATTAACACGGTTCAGAGACGTCCGAATTTCGTTATAAAACATGCCTTCAAATATTCTCATAACCCGGTTAAAAAAGGAAACCCTCGGATGAATTACTAAGGGACTCGTTAATATCGACCCTCGAAAAACCCTAAGGGGTATCGAATTGTTCGAACTCTCGGACAATTTTGTGCTAAGGCATAACAAAGCAAAGGATTTCGATAACACCAATCCTCGAAAAACCTAATGGGCACAAATTTATCTCATGCTAAGGCATGTAAACTTTTTATGATTAATTTTTCAAGCTGAAAAAGGGGGAAAACCATTTTTTTGAGGCCATATCAGCCTAATTCAAGAGCCTAAGGTCCATTTTATTTTTTGAGTTCGAGAAATCGTCCTTACTCAACTAAAACCTAAGGGTCACTCTACTTCGCGTTCGAGCAAGTACTCACTCGATTTTAAAGACTACAGTGGTCCGATTTCGGTCTAGTTGCCTAAAGTCCCAAACTTATGAGCAAAATCTCCATAAGACATAAAGGCATAAATGAAATAGATTTTTCACGAGGCAGGAAATAGAATAAAGACAAGTCGAAAAGAAAAAAGATCTTTTATATATATATACGAAGATATTTACAAGGACCAATCAGGGTCCCGCATAAAAAATCATAAATGAAAAAGCCCAAGATTCCTAATTTTCCTTAGGGGCAGCTTCTTCTCCATCGAAGTCCTCCCCATTCTCGGACCCGCTCTTGCTGCCATCATCATCATCATCATCGGAAGAGGCCAACGCTTCAGCATCGGCTTCATGCTCTCTAGCCTTTATTATCTCGTTGGTAAGATCGAAACCTCGAGCGTAGATCTCCTCGAGGGTTTCCCTCTGAGATTGGCATTTGGCGAGTTCAACAATCCAATGTGCTCGAGTTTGAGCGGTCTCGGCTGCCTCTCTCTCTTGGACTTGAGCGGCTTCAGCATCGGCCCGGTAGACGGCCATGATCGCCTTGGCCTTTGCCTTTTCGGCTTCAGATTTGGCCTTTGCAAGTTCGGAAGCCAACCGAGCCTCGAGCTCCTCTATTTTCTTTGCCTGAGATGAGCTCTTCTCCTTCATGACTCGAAGCTGACTTTCGACCGACGACTATTGGGCTCGAGCAGCCTCTTTTTCAGCAGCAAAGCGGTCCATACTTTCTTTCCACCCCAAGGTCTCCGCCTTCATCACGTCAACCTTCTCGCGGAATTTCTCGATCCTCTCGATCTTTTGCTGCAGTTGTGAGATTAAAATGTTAGCCATCGTTCCCGAATTGAATCCATGAGCTTTTAAGATTTTCATTACCTGCTCGATCAGGTCGGTCTGATCTTGGTGAGCCTCGGCCAACTCGGCTCGGAGGTCCTTGATCTCCTCTTCTTTTTGCCCACTGAGAAGTTTAAGGGCATTTCTCTCCTCCGTGAGCCCTCGGAGGTCGGCCTCATATCGGCTCAGCTCTGTTCGGGAATTTGAAAATGCCTCCTGATGGAGCGCCAAAGCCTATACGGAAAAGATAAAGGAAATTAGACAGGAAGAGAAGAAATAAACTAAGTATGATATCGACAAAGGGAGTTGAGACTCACCGGATTCAAGGCTTGTTGAGCCTCATCGAAGAGACTCGATGTTTCATCAGGTCGGTAGCATCCTCGACCCCAATAAAGTAACCACATAAGGGATCCTCCTCTCCATGAGCCCCGTCTACTTCGGGAGTCCTTATAGTTGGGCCTCCCAAATTGCCTCCTCGAAAAACGCAGGGAGAATTGGCGAGTCTTCAATCTCTATTGCCCCAAGTGAGCTACTTAGGCGTTCTCCTCGGTGCAAAGGGCCTCGGAGCCGGCCCCTTCAGACATACCCGCCTTTTGCTCATCTCGGCGGGAGGCATCTTCGATCTTCGATGACTCGGGGACTTTGCCCGAGTCCTTTTCCAAGACCCCCGCGGCTCGAGGCGGAATCTCCTCAAACACCACCGACTCAGCAGCCTTTGGGGCCTCGATGGTTTTTTTTCACTCGGGCCACCAATTTAGAGCCATCGTCTTCATCTTCTTCCTCCCTTAGCTGTTGAATCACATCCGCAGGAAGGGAAACCGTGTCTTTCTTCAGCTTACGAATCAGATTCTTCTTAGACTTTGGATCCTCGGAGGTTGAGGTACTTTTTCTCTTCTTATCCTTTGCTGGCTTCGGAACCGGGGTCGAAGTCTCCTACTCACCAGGCGGGGGCCTCATGACCGCATCCTTGCCCAGGCCTGTACACGAGAAAATTGAATAAGTAGAAGAAGGGCATCTTAATTGAATCATCAAATACACAAAAAGTGGGCTTACCCTGAGTTTTGGCCTCCCATCGGCCCTTTGATAAATCGCGCCATAAGCGCTCGGCGTATGTAGAGGTCGAGGCCAGGTTCCGAATCTAGCTCTCGAGGTTGGGAATCGCATGGGGCATCCAAGCGACCGCTACATCATGGAAAAAGACATCGATGAGAAAAGACAAAGGAACAAATAATACATGGAAGCTAACAATGAGACGGTACTTACGATTCATGTTCCATTTCTCAAGAAATGACATCTTCTCGGCTGGGATTAGGTCGGAAGTCCTCATTTGAATGAACCGGCCCATCCAGCCTCGATCCTTGTCCTCGTCTATGCTCGAGAACAGTACTTTGGTAGCCCGATGTTGGAATTTTATTAAACTGCCTTGATAGAGGTGCGGGCTATACAATCTAATAAGGTGATCGAGGGTGAAAGGGAGCCCCTCGATTTTGCTCACGAAGAATCGGAGCAGAATAATAATTCGCCAAAAGAAAGGATGGATTTGGCCAGGGTTATTCGATATTGACGGGAAAAATCAACGATGACGGGGTCGAGGGGGGCCCAGTGTGAAAGGGTAAGTGTAAACACTTAGAAATCCTTCCACATGGGTGGTGATGTCTTCTTCGGGGGTCAGGATCACCACCTCTTTGCCCTCCCAGTTGCAGTCTTTCTTTACCTGCTTAAGGTATCCCTCAGTTATCGAACATATATGCCTTGACACTGGCTCGCATCGACAGGAATCGACGAGGCTTTATCAGTCTTGAAATCAGAGTTTAGCGCGCACCCCCCAGGAATGCATTCCTCAAGATGGGTTCCACCGGCGTTTTCCCGCCGGCCGGTTGAGAAGATGAAGCAACTTCTTTTTGTGGTACTATTTTTGATGTTTTTGCCATTTTTGTGTAAATTTAAAGGAGAGGAAGATAATAGGACTTGGCATTTGAGAAAGGATTAACAGCAAAACCTGAAAATTTATAAAAGGGGAGAACTTAAGAGATGTAAAAGCTTTAGAGATTAGAAGGAAGTGAAAGTAAAGTTTGAATCAATGAGGAAGCGGTGTATTTATTGGATTCACGCCGACGGTTCAAAGGCACTAGTGGCCGACCACCAACTGACACTCATTAATGACTTGGGAAACTGTACCGACGGGACGTTTTGGTCACCCCCGTCGCTTACGTTACGAGGATGACGTCATGACAGGTCGAGGTAGAAAATCGAAGGCTTAATTCGTTTCTTGTCATTTAACTCCAAACAATGAGGGAACTATTTGTATACGGTTAAAACTGGGCCCACTCAATTTTACTACTTGACCGAGACCGAGAGGTTGCATCGAATGATGGCCTCATAATAGAACAGACTAAATCACGAGGATAAGGTACCGAGTTCAGAATTGAGGTACATGTCGAGATCGAGGCTAGTAGCGATTGAAGCCAAATGAGACAGACATCGAGCTAGATCGAAGATTGCACAATAACAAAAAGGCGAGATATTCGTAACTGGTTGAGAATCATGGCATAGATCTCGGAACGGATCAAATCAGGAACGGTTAATTAGCTAATTCTGTAATTGGAATTATACCATAAGTGAAATTCCTCTACTATTTAAAGGAGGATTCTAATCATATGTAAAGGACATTGTTCACAGATATCAAAGCTATATAATTCTCTTTCTCGTTTATACTATTGTTTATCAGTTTGTTATATTTTGATTGTTCTTACATCAACCAGTTCGAGGGTATCCAAACTGGACGGCCGAGTTTCATTCTAACACTGGTTTGCTTTACTTTATAGTTTATTTCTGTTATTAATCTTCATATTTATCAATTGATATTAAGTGAGATCACGTGTCCTTAAAACCACATTATAAATTTAATTGTTATCCAATTTTAAGGGTAAATAATTTTCATGAAAAATGAGTGACTTTATCACTTATTTTTCCTTGTTTGGTTGGTAAATGAAAGACTTTTCCGAAAAATAATTTTTAGTATTTTGTTAGAGAGTAGAAAATAGTTTTTAGGAAAATATTTTTTTATGCTAGTCTCCTCATGCCCTTCCCCCAAGTCCCCATATNATTTTTCCTTCTCTTGATAGGGAAAATATTTTCTTTCAATTGGAGAAGAATGAGTTCACGAGGAAAATACTTGTAAAAGGTAAAAACATTTAAGCCTACCGAACATATGGAAAATGCTTTTCTTCATGCCAAACACCCGAGATTAAAACACATGCACGAGAGATACAATTTCATGATACACGACACTTCAATTTTTGAAAGTAAAAGGAGCTGACAAAATTGGCATTAGACCTTCACTAACGGCTATAAATATGCCCCTAATTAGTTGAGCAAAGAACTACAAACAAATACAACTTCCCCACTTCAGATTTCAAGACAAAGTATTGTCAATGGCTGGAATTAAGTTTGCTTTCTTTTTTGCTGCTCTCCTCCTGGCGATTGTTGGTTAGTAGTTGCATTCCCCTCTTCCTAGCTCTCTATCTCTTTGTATATGAACTCTCTCCATTTCAATTTATATGGCACAATTTTATTTTTAGTATATGTTCCAAAAGAAAGACACAATTTTATTGCAAAGGTCTTTATTTATTTTTGTTAATCTCCGTGTTAAGTCAAACAAGACCACATAAAATAGGACGGCGGGAGTGTATGCAATGGCGAGGCAAAAGTCGAGCTACGGGTTCGGCTAAACTAAATAACTTTTACTCAAAGAATGTATTTTGTGTTAAGAAATTCATCAAATATGTACAAATATTAAATTCAGAACAAAGTCATTAGCACTTGAAGTCGTCATTCTAAATTGTGGATCCCATAAATTTAAAATTCTGGCTCCGCCTTTGAGTGTGCATGTGTGTATATATATATATATATCATTTTATATTAGTGTTTAACTCAATGTTGATTGAATGAATATGCAGTTAATCCATCCATGATCAGCTCGCCGAAGATGAAAGTGAAAGCATTGAGAAACTTACCCTTAGATATGGATATGGAAATGGTTGAAAGAAATCTATTGTTTTCAAGACTAAAAGACGATGGTTGGCTAACTTGTAAGAGACCTTGCAATCAGATTAGTGATTGCTCTGACGGTTGGCTTTGCGATTCATGTGGATTTCCTGTCTTAGGGGATAGATATATGCAATGCCTCATTCCTCCAGAATCCTCAAAGTATGCTCAAGTGATTCCAACTGCATTCATCGCGGGAGGTGAAAACCTGAGTGAATAGCTCTAATAAATAAATAAATAAATAAATAGAATTGCATTTCTACATGTGTTTATGTTGCTTTTAATTTACCTACTTTGAGTGAATAAGTGACGACTAAGATGTTAGATGTCCCAATATTGGTCGTTTATTTTCTATCATATATGTATGTCTACTTACTATATATTAATCTTGATGAATGAAATACGTTATGCAGTTTGTGTATTCTCTCTCTCTTTTAGTATTATTTCTTTTGCTTCATCATTTTTGATAAACGCTTGGAAAAATCTTATCGTTAAATTAGTTGAATGTTAACTCAGTAATAGAGGTGTCATCCTGCTTCTTAGAGGTGCAATTATTATATATGTACTTCATCTCGCATTTTTTAAGTAGTTTTGCATGTTGTTATGCAAATATAAAACAAATAATTGACATACGATCTTTTCCCATATCCAACTACATTGTAATAGTACTTTATTTTGCTCGTATCTGTATAGCTAAGTTTGTGATACTTTGTGTCACGACCTGAGCCAGCCGCCACCCGAGCTACTTTGCAAACTCTAACTTATTATCATTCTATGAAAATAAACAGTAGTTTAAATACTAAGATAATCCACAAGATACATATAACAGTTATATAAATAGATAAAATCCCATAACACGCCGATAATACAGACTATGGACTAACCATCTCAGCCAAAATATCTACATGATATTGTAATGAGTTTAAATTCTATGTATTGGCAGTGTAAAAAATATTTATCAAATTAAATTATTTATTAGGTAATTATTTGGTAAATCTCTTACTTAGCATCAATTAGTAATCTGATAAAATAGTACTTAATCTTGCTATCACGTGTTAAAATTTACCGATTTAGTAAAAATTATTAAAACACTGAATGATATAAGGTGACAGAATCTGCATTCTTGATAAATTCTCTAAATTTGTTCACGTGAAGAAGCTTCAGATGTTTTTTTCCTCTTTCTGGGTATTCCGAAGTTTTTTTACCTCCTTTTGACGGTTTGTATTTCATCCTTTATGATCAGAGGAACTTTTAAGTTATATTGCTTCAGTATTTATCACTTTGGATTCGTTAATATTCTTCAGTTACATGATAAAGATGATATTCTCCTTGTGATCATTGGCCTTGAGGTTTTAGGTTTGAGCTTCGAAGAATAGGAAAACCTCTGGTACGCAACGTTATTCATTTATTGGGCCTTATGAGGCACAAATCTAAATTAACCTTGTCAGTAAATTTCAAATATTAAACAATTGCAGCTTGTTTCAAATAGCGGGGCTAATTATGTCCTAACTTATTACCCCACAATTCTATTTTACCCTTTATCTTTTTTATTTTATTTTAATTTTAAATCTCTAACCTATAACCTACTTTGTTTTCATCCTTTTTTTTCTAGGCTGGTTCTACCGCTTACTATTGCCAACTCCAACGTCACAGGTAAAAAGAATAGGTTTTACCATCTTCTTTTTTTCGTTTTTTTCTCCTCATTTGATTTTAACTCCAATTCTAATTACTATAATCACCAATTAGATGCATACTATTGGTTGTTTTCAAGTGTTCAAAGTGTAATTATTTATCTTCATTCCTTTGTTCAGCCAACTTCTTGTTTCTTTATCATCATTCTTTATTTTTTTCTAATGATAGTTAATCTTTTTCTTCGGATTTTTGCTCTTGTTTTCACCTAGAAATTGAGTTAGGGTAATATTATTTATGGTATAATTGTTAAGGATCTTATTGGATATGAGTATTTTGTTATAGATTATATGTGACTTTGTTTGAAAACTAATATGTTATTCACTTTGAGTTATGGATTATATGTCATGTTGGGAAATATTACTTATGATCTAAATTCTGAAAGGAGTGTACTTAATATTTATTTTATATTTTATTATTATTATGATCTACTTATGAATGGAGTGTACTTATTATTATTTTTAATATTATTAACTTGTTCCACTAATTTTATTAGAATTTGCATGAATTTAATTGCTTAATCTAATTATAAGACATAATTGGTGATAAATTAGTAGGAAGGAGTTTTCTTAAATTATTTTTATACATAATTCTTGATAAATTTAATATTTAAAATAATTGAGGATATTTTAGTAAACATATTAGTTACAGTACAATACGACACAGTCAAGCCAAACAGCAAAATATTACTATTTAATAACAAAAAATAATACAATCTATCCAAAAGTTATATTCATAAAATGATACAATACAATACAATACAATACAATATATTATAAAATGATGGGTAACAATGACCCAAATAGAGTGTAACGACCCGGTCAGTCGTTTTGAGTATTTTAGCTCTGATCCCCTAAATATTGCTTCCTCTATGCTATATTGTGGGTATGTAACTTGTCAGGGAGGTTGATTTTGGTTTCAGGCGAGTTTCGAAGTGAAATGGGACACATAGTCCCTAAGTTGGAAGGTTTAAGTCGTAGGAGTTAACCGTAGTTTGACTTGTGTGAAGATGACCCTGGAATGGAGTTTTGATGGTTCTGATAGCTCCATAGGGTGATTTCGGTTCAAAGAGCATGTCCGGATGTTAATTTGGAGGTCCGTAGGTCGTTTCAGCGTGAATTGGCAAAAGTTGGAAGATTTTTGAAAGTTTGACGAGAGTGCACATTATTGATATCGGGGTTGGATCCCAATTACAGAAGTTAGAATAGGTCTGTAATGTCATTTATGACTTGTGTGCAAAATTTGAGGTTAATCAGAGTTATTTTGGTATGAATAGGCGTTGGTTTGGGAATTCGAAAGTTCATAATTGCTTAGGCTTGAATTTGTGTTGCGATTCGTAGAATTTATGTTGTTTAATGTGATTTTTGGCCTCAGGTAGGTCAGTTATGTGTTTTGGAACTAGTTGGTATATTCGGACGGGGTGTCGAGGGCCCTGGGTGTGATTCGGATCGAATTCAAAATAATTTGGACCTGCTAAATTTTGCTGAAGGTTGGCAGCTTCGGAAGGGATTGGCCGCAGGTGCGGGCTCGCAAAACAAGCACTTGGTCGAAGATGCGGAGCTGGGCATGCCCAGATGGGGTGCAGGAGCGGAAAATGTTCCGCAGAAGCGGCTTCGCTTATGCCATAGAGAAAACACAGTGGCGACAATGATCGCAGGTGCGATAGTGGTCGCATGTGCGACACTTTTCATCGCAGGTGCGGCCCTTTGCTCGGAGAAACAGAGAGTGAGGAGTAATTCATGTCCACACCTGCGATGGAAATTACGCAGGTGCGGCAGTAAGGTCGCAGGTGCGATTTAACTGGGCAGAAAAGGGAAAAATTTGAGAGTTTGATTCATAATTCATTTTGGGACTTAGAGAGCTCGGTTTGCGGCGAAATTTTGAGGGATTTTCAGAGAGAACTTTGGGGTAAGGAATTCTAAATCGTTTTTGATTAATTCACATGAATCTATTGATAATTTCATTATTTAATTAGTGCTTGGGAGTTGGAAATTGGGAAATATTGGTAGAAACTCCTTAGGCTAAATTTTTGAGTTTTGAAAGGCGAATTGAGGTCGGATTTGGATAATTCTTGTATGGTTGGACTCGATATCGAATGTGTGTTCGATTTTTATAATTTTCGTTGGACATTTGAGGTGCGAATTGTGATACGTTGTGATATTGATACGCATGCGATGGTATATGGTGGGCTTGTTAATCGTGGCTAGTAGGAGAACTACTAGAAGCCATGCAGTGTGATAAGGTGGGCTAAAATACGGGATGCTATTTCGGGAAATTTAATTTTTAAAATTAAATGTGAAGGCTCTCGCGGTGATATAAGGAAAGACTGTGAGTTACTTTTATGATTTGGGACTACGAGGCAGTACCTCGGTAGTGGCCCTTGTTGATCTTTCTCTATTTGTTATATTTGTCTTGGTTATTTGTTTCCTTAACATGTAAATGCTTGTTTTCTTCTGTGTTGTATTAACTGTCTTGATTATGTGTTGTTAACTTTCCGTAAATTCCTTATTGTTTCATTTCCATTGTCCATCGTTATATCTTTCGTCTTGTTTCTTATTATCTCCGGTAGGGCCTTGACCTAACCTCGTCACAACTCTACCGAAGTTAGACTCGACACTTACTCGGTACCGCTGTGGTGTACTCATACTACGCTTTTGCACATCTTTTTGTGCAGATTCAGGTACTTCCTATGAGTCCTGGCATTAGTGAGCTGAGGTTACTTTGGAGAGTTCAAGGTACACCTGCCCGCGTCTGCAGGCCTCAGAGTCTCCTTCTATCTCGTTCTTCCTTATTTCATTACACTATTATAGACATTGATGTATAGGATTGTTCAGCACTGTTACTTAGAGCTTGTGATTTCACCAGGTTTTGGGAGTTGTACATATTGAGTTACATATTTTATTTATGTAGTTGCTGAAGTTTTGAGATTTTATGTTGTTATTTCAATTATTCCGCATGTTGTTGGGCTTACCTAGTCTTAGAGATTAGGTGACGTCACGAACCGAGTGTTAGACGAAAAAACAAGGAGGAGGATAACGCCGGACCTAAGGAAAGAGGGTATATAATGAATTCCAACGGTATAAACTATGCTCATTACGTTAAACTTCTAAAAAATTTCTTATGTTGATACTAGATGGTGGGTGTCCGTGCACAGCACGTGCATATGCCCGATTGTTATGAATTCTGAAAAGTTCAATTTAGTAGGGCAGAACCACTTTTAAAGTTGGTTTAGTGCAGAACAAATTAAATAACATAACACTCATGCGAAGGTTAGTGTAATACAAACCAACAAGCATAGATTCATAGAAAATAAGGAGTTCACCTAGTAAGGAAGTAGCCATTTTCATAGACTTAAATACAACTCAGATCAACTATTTATAGAGTTTGCCTTTAATATATCGATTGTCTAATGAAAAACTGATGTTTCATGCTTCAGGGATTCTCTTAGCAGCATCAACTAATGTTGCACAAATACTTTCTTTTTATTTATGGATATGGCTCAATCGATGGATATATCGAACCTGCATAAATAACATGTACAATTCAAAACTTTCACTATTGAACAAACATTATACTATGCAAGGTCTCTAATATAGATGCATATAAAGTTAATTGATTTTGGTGATTTGA